GTATGTAACATGCATTGATCAAACGCTTCGGCGCCCGAGTAACCTGATTGAAGCCTCCGCTACAAAAAAGAGCGATGACTGCAAGTAGCGTTGATGTGAGTTGATACTTAAATAAAAAAGTATAAGCGTGAGAAAGACTATCTACTGAAGACAGTTAAATTATTATTTTAACTATTTTCCTTATAGACACAATCGATCACTGCCAGCGTTAAAAAGAATCGTGTTGCGAGCTTTGACTCGGATAACATCTCGGCGGTCAATTGTCAAAGATTCAATTCAATATGGAATCGCTATCTAACTGAACTCGGCACCGTTACGCCAATGTAGGTTAGAAGTTTGCGAAAAAAGTGGCCAATGACGTAGCAAGTTTGGTTCGCACACTTGAGCATGTTAAAATACTGAACCTGTGAAGAAACTGCGAATAAACCTATGGTATCCCACGGTAGGGCAACTGGATGTGGTTTTGGACTTTAATCTACCCACAAAGTGATCTGGTTTAGAGGTAAAAGGTTTTCCTTAGTCAAAATTACGAGGGCTGCACTAAAAGTATCGGGAATGGAATATTTCCACTGTTCCAGTCATATTAAAATCTATTTAATTGCAAACTCCAGGGTTTTAAAAATCGTATACCATTTATTTATTTAAAAAAAGATTCTCGGTCGTATCACAAGGTCTTGTCAAACTTGTTTAGTCGTTGAGAAAATGGATTGACTCGAGAAAATTCAAGAGCGATGATTTATTATGACTTTTGAAGTGGTTTAACACAAAAACAGTGTGTTGACCGGATGATTTCTGCATTTGGTAATGAAGCCCCATCCAAAACCACAATTTATCGCTGGTTTCCTGAATTTCAACGTGGACGTGTCAAGCTCAGTGATGATCCCCGTCAAGGTCGTCCAAAAACTGCAGTCACCTAAGAAAACGTTGATGCTGTGCGTAAGCTGATTGAAGAAGATCGACATGTGATATACCGCGAAATTCAGGCAACTTTAGACATTGGCATGAGTCAAATACAAATAATCTTGCATGAACAATTAGGTGTAAAAAAGTTGTTTTCCCGATGGATACCGCATTCGCTCTGTGAAGAGCAAAAAGCGGCTCGCGTTACTTGGTGCGTCAGAACTCTCGGGAGATTACATGCAGGATCCTCAAATGCTGTATACAACATCGTATCAGGTGACGAATCATGGATATACGCGTACGAACCCGAAACAAAAAACCAGTCACGAGTTTGGGTGTTCGAAAATGAATTATAGCCAACAAAAATTGTTCGTTCACGGAGTGTTGCAAAAAAAATGGTGGCCACGTTTGTCTCCAAAACCGGCCATGTTGCGACTATTTCTCTTGGGGGACAAAGAACGGTTAATGCAGATTAGTATGCTAGCATTTGTTTGCCACAGGTCGTTTCTGAACTCCGTAAAGAGAACTGCAACCGCCGCATCATCCTCCATCACGACAATGCGAGTTCTCACACCGCGCACTGAACAAAAGAGTTTTTAGAGCAAGAAAACATAGAATTATTAGTCCATCCGCCGTACAGCCCCGACCTAAGCCCTAATGATTTCTATACTTTCCCTAAAATAAAGAATAAATTGCGTGGTCAGAGATTTTCATCACCTGAAGAAGCTGTGGAAGCCTACAAAACGGCCATTTTGGAGACCCAAACTTCCGAATGCAATGGTTGCTTCAATGATTGGTTTCGTGTATGGAAAAATGAGTCAAATTTCGCGGAGAATACTTTAAAAAGCAATAAATACATTTTTAAATAGCAATGTTGTTTCACTTTCTTGATTCCCGAAATTTTCAGTGCCGCCCTCGTATTAGGTAATTTTTGACGCATCTTACGAGGCTTTACGATTACTCGGTCGTATACTTCTCGCGACGAATAGACGCGTTTTTACATTTATGACGAATTTACTATCAATGCATCACACATAAAAAAACTGTGAAGAATTGACAATAACCCTTTCAGGGCCGTCACGACTGCCAGTATCGCTAGCGCGTCGCGAAGTCGCGATGCAGTCCCGCCAGGGTCACTTCACAGCCACGCCACGCAGGCCGTGTGCTCAGGACCTTAAAGAAATTGCAGCGGGCAAATCCTAGTCGCAAAAAATACCAATTTACGTGGAGATTCAATTGTCAGCCAACGGAGGGAGGGAGGGAGACGCGTGAAACATAAGAAGCTAATTTCCTCTGGGATGGTGGCGGGAAGTCCTTGTCTATCCTCAGCAATATCAGTGTACACACATTATGTAGAGTTGTGTTTTTGTTTGCACCGATGTCCACGCTTCAATCATCTCAGTCGTTAGTTCATTACTTAGGGGACCACGAACGGGCAATTTGCCTTGAATGTTTCATTAACATTCCGAGAGTTATTACCCGCGATTGCACTTTAGCACTTTTTATTTTAAGAATGCACCAATGTTCCTAATAGGTTTAAAAACTAGTTTGCAGTTTAAACAGTAATTACGTTTTATTGTCATGTCATTTCTGCGCAAATAAATGAGGAACATTTATTTCGCGGTTTATTTAAATGTATCGGAATATTCGCCTGATGTTATTTTTCACATTAACAGGCGTACCTACCTACTTCAGACAAAATGCAACAAGAAAATCCATTAAGATGTGCAAACAGTACAATACATTGCAATGACTAAATATGTTAAAAACCCAAGGTCCAGTTACTTGTTTTTAGCCTTCTCGTCATCATCATCAGTAAATTATCTGTGAATATAATATTGTTTTTGACAAAAAAGATATTGTTAAGCCGTTCGATGTCCTAAGTTCATACCAAATTCCGAGAGCATTACAGACAGATCTCGTAAACATTTCTATCTTGTCTGCCTCGTCATTGTTCAACCGTCTCAGTGGTTTCGCCGTTGGAATATCGAATATTTTTAAAATACACCACCGTCTGTATCTGTTTTGCATCGATGCAGACACCGTGATTCAGTCACGCTAGTTCGCAATACTGATATTTTGCAACAATACAATGCCCCAGACGTGGTTACGGCGTTTCGCGTCTCTAAAGCCACGCGTGCCGTTGCGGCGTATTTATTTATGTGCCAATGCACTTTCTAAGCTAAGTCACACACGGGTTAACAGGGCTGTCGAGAGCTCTTTCACAATGAGCCTAAATTAGTGCTTATTAGCGCCTATATCTGCTAATACGTTTAGCTTTGTAGCCCCCCATTTTGCAAGTGACTTTATGTTGCAATTCGCTCACAACAGTAAACAACCTTACGTATGCTCACTCACAACTTGCCCCCAAAACAAACTCAATTGTGCAACGGGGTCCAAATTGAACGAGAATGTGAGTGGCGGTTCGCAAAAAAATTTCAAAACACGGGCCACCATTCCACCAATCGGTGGAATTGTCTTTTTTTGCAGTAACCCTACTGATAGGGTTCGGCGCGTGTCTTGTAGGGAGCCCGGTGTCGCGTGTGCATAATGTAGGGCCCGCCTCCCCGCGGCGCCGCGTCAACGACCCCGCCGAGTCAAGGACGCGCGCCCAGCGACAGAGATACAAACTGTTATGCCGCGGACACATTGGGATTAACTGTAGCCAAGTTTGGCGCCAAGATTAATTGGTCAGTATTGACGTATTGGACGTCGGAAATTGTTCGGCGCCTGCTTGTCTAACTGACCGTCACCTTCGGAGAACATTCACCGTGGATTTTAGGAATTTTAAGATGACACATCTGTTTCATCAATAGCGGTTCATAGCAACATTGATTCACCATATCTTTGGATCAAAGAGGCATCAAGTGCGCGGAAGCTCATCTAAATATGTACCTACCACATAAAAACCAAATCACCGTTCCATCAACATTGGGCACCATGGTCACTCCCCACCACGTACAAATTGATTTGACGCACATAGTATATGGTTGCAGTAATGTGAAATGTGTGACCGCAGCATTATTTGGATGTGAGAGCGAAAGATCGATACGGGGAGATGTTCACTCGATTCGATCATTTTTTATTGAAGGATGCTCTTGGCCAGGCCTTTGCTTTCGCTGGGGAGTTTTGACGAATGCTGTGGGCACTCCAGCTAATGGATACGTCGACGTGTACTAGTTAGAGGGTCTGATCGAATATTCTAGAATGTAGAGCTCGAAACTGACAGATTTTTATCTTGAATTTGATGAGCTCGAATTGACAAGACTCAAATCATTGACAAAAAAAATAAAAGAAGATCTTGAATTTGACAGGTATAATTTCAAGCGCCTGTTCAAGCAAGATCTGCAATACTTTACCGAGCGGAATTTCGTCTACAATAAAATATTTGTACAGTTGAAGAATTACATGTCTGTGTGCTGAATTTGATCGACCCCGGCCAGTCAAGGGCAAGTGATAAAACCGCTTCTGTCAGAATGTGCCCGCGATAGATCGATACGCTGCGGGAGACAGACCCGTCTACTTGGTAGTTGGTACCGTTTTAGTCTTATAGTCCTTTTATTTTAAACTACTCTGTAAATGCTAAACTAGTATAAGATCTATGTGTTCATCAACTAGGGAATCTAGAGACTTTTTTTTAATATCCCTTTCAGCACGACAGAACAAAAAGTGAAAACTTGAAAAAACTTGTATTTATATGTAACCCATAGCAATCAAAGTCCCCAACAAAAATAGTTAAAAAAATCCCCCCCCTCTAGTTTCCCCCCAATAGACATCGCACGTACGTGCGTTCCAGGTTCTACTCAGCTAACGCAGGATCGTGCATTCCATAATAAATTATACAAAGTTTGTTAAATTATAATTACTTTATTTATTATAGCCCGATTTATCAGTCTCATCAAAATAAGTATTTAATCTCGCATATTAATTACATTTTAGTGACAAGATTTAAAAAAATATCTAGCATTTTCGATATGCTTAGACTTAAGAACAGAATTACTTTGAGTAACACAATAATGACACCTTTATTGAACAAAAACATTAATCAAAAACAAACAAAAAATTTCCTATCATTTTTAATGAATCAAATCAGTCTTCTTAGTAACAATATTAATCAAATAGAAAATTTGGTAGTATGACATGCTAGGAAGCAATTTTTATTCCTAACAAGGCACAAATGAACGTTGCATTTTGTGCAACGGATAGTAGTGAAAGACGTGCAGTTCTCAAACCTGCATTTTCTACCTCTTGTGAGATCAGGAAATGGTTAAATTTGTCCAATCGTTTATCTGACGATGGAACCACAGCTGGTCTATATCTTTTAGTTGATGGTTCAGAAATAGGAGCTTCATCTTCTAAAACTTGATCAGCCTGAGGAACCGAAGCAATCAGAGCATCAGTAAGGTCCAATCTGAACCACAGCAAGTCCTTAGCCTTAATTTCTTTACCTCACCAGCTGTTACTCTTGGTGGAAAATCATGGCATTTGATTTCGAAGTTAGTTGCGCGCCAAATTCTGCGTCTTTCTTGCTTTGGTAGACCACTGGTAGAGGCTGCTGGCTGATTTCTAGGCTCTGTCACATTTAATTGCCGCAGTTGTGCTAAGGGGACTCCCATTTCTTCATCAGACTCATTCCCTTCACCGTTGTGTGGACTATCTGCATCATTTTCCAGAAACAGAAATGCTTCGCCTAGTTGTTCCTCGTCCGATTCCTCCTCCAAGTCAGATGTGCACCCATTTCCGATCAGTTGTTCCACCAGATTCTCGTTTAGAGCACAACCTGTTAAAAATAGAACATTTTAGTATTATTTTAATGTTACCTAAAAGCACAACATAAAACGACAACGCACGAACGTGCGCTCGCAACAAAATGGCTCTTTTTATAAGAAAATGTTGATAAATACTGTAATATTTTTTTGTTTTATAGTCAAGGGATATATTAACAAATGAAACAAATACGATTCATAACATAAATATCACATTAAATATAGAAACAAAGCACTCACGTCTTGCTCGGCCGTCAACAAACATGACTCCTGTCTTGCACAAGTCCTGACGCGTCACTGGCAAATATTTCTTCCCGCGCGTATGTTCTAACGGTTAGAATAGGTAATGCACAAACGATCGAGACCGTTTCGGCGCAGCAAAATCAAAATCCGCGACCTCTAGAATTTTTTGAGTATCAACGCAAGTTTAGTACAATCCGTGCTGAAAGGGATACGAGGCTTCCAAGGTCCAAAAAATCGGTAAGACTTATGTATTAAGACAATAAGCATTATCTTCACTCTAGCGTGAATTAAAATTGCTTTATTTTGTCCATAAAAATATAATGATTGTTCTGTTAATAAAATTTACGAATTCTATATTAAAGGATGTTCGTGTAGTCTCTATTTCAAAGAATTTCACTATTTTAAAAGTGCTGTTTTCTATACATTTTTTAGCAGTGATTTTAAGTATAGAAGAAAATTACAAACCACTATTAATTACAATATTCATATAGCTAAGACGGTTGTAATTTATTTCTCATAAATCAGGAATTCAAAATAACAATCTTCGAGTAGTCTCCGCGTCTGGCTCTGAACATCACAGTCACGGTCGTTGTTGCCAAATGAATGCTAGGTAGTAGACTCGCACGGTAACACCAAACAAAATAGGGTATGAAGGCTTTTAGGCTCCACTTTTAAGGCTAAATTATATACTCTCGGTGAAGTAATGGCAAATAAATAAAAGATGATGAAATGATGCTGATAATGTCTCGTTTTACAGGTTTAAAATAAATGCAAAAACTTTCCAAATTGTTACATTTTTTATGGTCATGGATTTCCTACAATTCTCATCAACCCCGTCTCTGTCATAGATCATTCCATTTTTGCAACAGCAAAGCGTCGGTAATTTGTATAAAACATCAATACTAATAAATAGGGAGTAAATCGCAAAGAAAACTATCGTAAAAACTTCACAAAACGTGGTATGTAGTTGTTTATCTCCGCTGTGATCGCGCCCACTGTACCCAAACAGTTTGTGTCACCAATCAACCGGCATTATTATGCACATAGCGCGACGCACCTGTGTGTCGCCATGTCAACGCTCTATTGATACGTACATCCGGTTTGGCTATTAATATTTCGATGAGCGAATGCGGGTCTTACCAATAATAATATTGCAACAGGATTTGCGGAAAATATATTCAAATTATTCACAGAATATTTAACCGCAGGAATTTGAAAGATTTGAGGAAAGCTTTTTAACTGACATTTTGCAATGTGTTACAGAATTCGAGAGCAATACCAAGTCAGTATTGTAAAATGTTGTAGAGGTCTGCAAAGATGTAAACAGTCATAAGGTAAAATTCCATTCACAAGATTCATGAAGGTCGGTCTGGGTCTTGAAACGCCAAAAAAGACGTTAAAACTTTTTTTTTTGTCATCGGTAATCGAAAGTAAAAACTGGTCAATCGGGATTCCTTGCCGCCGGTGTCAATGTTACAAAAACTGTGCAACAAAATTTAACAAAACTTCTAAGGAGTTTTAGGGTAAGTGTCATAAGTAGTTATAATCTTCTTAGTATGCCATGCCATGATGGCTTATTTTGAGACCGTTGTGTTTTTAAACATTTCTTCCAAGAAACGAATCAATTTATGTACCAAGCTCTAAACTAAGTCACTATTAGGAGTATTTAAATAAATCCCTTGTTAAGGAATTCGAACCCGCAACCGCAGGTAGCCTATTAATAATTTCAGCTATAAGGTAAAACCAAAATAAATAAACATTTTCTTTTTTCTCCCAAAATTAATTTCAACACACGCGACTGGGCCAACATTGAGTCGCGTCATGCATTGCCAGTAGGCCGAATTGTGTTTAAATGGGTCTCTAATTGTGCCAATAAAGGGAGGTAATACAGGTTTTTTAAGTCACGCGAGCACACACTCGGTGTGACAGACAAGTGAAGGCAATTTGGGCGAAGGGAAGTGTTTGCCCAGTGGCCGCCGGACCACTCCGCAAAAGGCGCATTCTGGAGAATGTCGAGAGTGGAACTCGGGTTTCAGGGCGTTTATGGAGCACAAATTTAATTCATTGCTTCGATATAGGTGTTTATAAATAGGTAGTTAAGATAAGACTCCCTCTAGGACCTAGAGGCATGCCAAAAGTCAAGCTAAAGGACAGATTAAAAGGGCGCGTATTGGGGGAGGATTATGTCCACTCCAGATGGAAAACTATAGACTGATGATGATGAAGGTATTAATATATGATGCTTCTAAGAACAAATACTTTTAATCGTAGGCTATGGTAAAGTACTTATTGGAATGATGCTTCAAGTTTCCATTTGGCGGGAATGAAGTAACATTATTCCTAATATTCAACGCATTTTTATTGTTATAACGATGGCTTACGCTTACCGAATAGATAGAGAAGCCCCAATAAATATTCATGTAACGTGAGAGGCCATTGTCGAAAAAATATCGATGTCGATATCGTATATCGGTGAGATGGCGACACGTGATGTTACCCTATTATACTGATGGTAAGTGATACCACCGAATTAACTGTTTTACTTCATTGCATTTTAGGGTCCATTGTTTGGGGTGTTAACTATACGACTTCTTGGTACTTATTTAGTTTTATTATTTAAAAAAACTTTTCAATACAAATCCACAATTTTTAAATGACTATGATAGACTACATGACAGACTAATTTGCTTACAAGTTACGAGAGAGACTGAATCACATAAAATAAAGAAAATACGTAACTCAAATATGCAGAAGATTGTCGGATATTTTAGTTACCTCACATAGTAAATTTAAGGCATCCCGGTGTAGAATACGATTGCGACAGAGTCCAACTGTACCGCCGAGGTACCGTACTCTACGCACAAATTGGCCGTTTCTTTCATAATACTAATTGTGTCAAGATATAATTTCTGGCAATTAAGCACGATTGTGCGGTGATATATATTAATTTTACGGTTGGAAACACGTTGCGTGTGCGCCAGAATAGGGCGGTCACGCCACGAATGCGAGCTAGGGGATTCCCTGAAGGTATTTTATGTGATGCACGTGCATTTTACCTCTCTGTGGTTTATTAACGACTGTGTTTGTTATGTTGTGTACGTTATAATCTGAAGTGTTTGTATTGCGACAGCCATCTTGACGACTTTTCTCAGAATTCAAACTTAAGTCTTTCGTAAGATCAAGTTTATGTTCATGTCAAACTTGAGGAAGAATTTCACAGAATACATCTGTGAGATCGTTACGGAGTAAAAGAATGACATAGAAAGTTAATCAGTCCCTTAAATAAGGCAGATTCACACACGTTCGGCCCAAACAATGCTTACAAACAAAATCGCACTTTCCCATGGCAGTATTTACTTAAATTGACACCAAACGTTCGGTGACCCGGTACAATTGCCGGTGCATGCGGCGTTAATTTGTACAGACGGCGGCACACCAAGCTAAACTCTCTGTCTCTTAATGACTTGAGATAGGGGTGATTTTGGAATCAAAATGTATATTATAGTCTAATGTGCTGTCGACTGTACGGTGCGACAATTAGTATTCCGCCCGGGAAGACGGATAGATGGTCTCTCTTCATTTTCTCCCACGTGTAACACCGCCGAAAAGGTAATTAGGGCCAATGCCGCGTCCCAACGATGTGATCTGAAAGCTGGTCGGTCGATGTTGTTAATTTCTTTCGTTTATTACCAAGTGCTTGGTATTTAGGCTTGGGTGGTAATTATGGGTTTTAGTATGTTTGTTTACCACTACTCGCTCTTGTTTTGGGAAATCGGTGATACGAATTTGTTGATAAATGTATTTGTGTTCATATCTATCTATACGATATGATACTAAAAGCCGGCAATGACAGTCGAACATAAATCAAAAACTAAAATAATATTTGAAACTTCTGCATATTTCCTCATTCATACATTAGCCATAGCAGAATGATTTATCAAGAGCATTGTTGGCCGTTGGGCTTATTGTCTAAAGAAAGATGCTGATTATATTCACACAAAACCAGTTTGGGTGGATATGAGAAGACCCATCACGTCCATTCACACGGTCGCGGCACCAAACCTGTTCCTAGAGACAGGTGTCTCTAGAGCTACGGGAGGCATTTTTTATGTTTATTTCAGTAAATTGCAACTGCCTTAACTCTGTTCTCCTCGGCCATTTAAGTTGACGTCTAATTATCCCAAATTGGCAACCGCAGTGTGTTATTCCAAGAGCTGTTTAACTACATATTTTTGTTATTGCTTTAAAAATCCAATCAAGAACAGACTTGTCGCAGAACGAGATCAAAGACAATAATTTAGTAACAAATCTAATTAATATACAATGAAGTCATACTCTGAAAATCGCTCATTGTTTTGTGTACGAAATTAATTACATTTTCTAATAGTGCCGCGCGTAGGAATTGCTTGGTGGCACGTAATTTCCCTCGGGCGATTTGACGTACAGCGAGTACGCAGCGCGCCTAGAAAGGGTGGAATGCAGCGGTATTTAATAATAAATCTATAAGAATTTATTGCGAAAAAAATACGAAGAAGTTTAATGAATTGATTTAGAAATTTAAAAAATAAAAATGTGTTTTGGACAAGTAAAAGTCAGTATAGATGTGCCATTAAAGAAAATTACGGCACTGTGTGTATATCTTACATCATCTTTAAATTATGATGAATGTTCAGAAATAAATTATTGTCTGAGAAAGTGATGAAAACAGAGCCACGTGTGTACATTACACAAGATAAATGCATTGTCATGAACTACTAATTATTATCTCTGTAAGTGATAATTAGTAGTTCCCCAATTATCACTTGAGATTTATGTCATTAAGATTGTTGTGCTTTAATAACATATCGTAATTAATTACGGTTTTATGTATTGTGAGACGTAATTGCTAATGACGATAAGGTTTGTATTCGCAAATCAGGGCCAAAGAAATGCGTAATAATGTGATGAACTGATGATATTAAAGTGCACACAGGTTAACGAACTATCAAAGCTTACATTGGATTGCGATTGGCACTGAATCAATGTGACCCGGGCCCTAGAGTCCAAACGAGCGAGACAGGGCGCGGTTTCAGTCGATAAACACAAACGACCGTGAGTCACGTCGTATCTTTCGCCTATCGATATCGACAAAAGACCGGAATTTATTTATATCTGTATAAAAATGACCGCGTTACG